TGAATTACGACTAGTAATCTATTTAAAGTATTAATAATTTAAATTCAATATTAAATTTAGGAATTAATGTTGTTTTCTTTTTATGAATTATACGACCAGTATTCTTTTTTATTATAGTTTTATGAATAATAGTGTACATTCTAATTATGTTGAAAAATAATTTGATAATCTATTTATTATTTTATTTTTAAAACATTTTTTTAATGAACCTTTTTTTTTTTTTTGCTTTATTACTTGGTTTATGAAAAATAATTTGATCATCTTTTTATTGTTATGAAAAATAATTTGATCATGTTTTTATTGTTTGTTTTATGAAAACAATTGTTTTTTTAAATGAGCCTATTTTTTCTCTCAAAATAATGTACCTACTTTTTCTCTAATAATTTACCTAGTATAATGAACCTATTTTTTTCTCTAATAATGTATACCTAGTAAAAAAATTTACCTAGTATAATGAACTTTTTTTTTCTTCTAAATAATTTACCTATTTTCTATAAATTGTTGTGTACCTATTTTTAATTTATGAAAAATGTACGGAAATTTCAAATACAAAGTAATTGACCTATTTTTGTTAATTTTTTTGGTAAATAATATACCTATATTTTTATACGGATATATTTATATTTATATTTTTCATATGTACATTATTGGATATGTAATTTACATATATATATATATATATTGCAATTTTAAGGGGCCATATGTTAGAGGGAATGGCAACCAAAAGAAATGGAGTGATTGATATGCTATTAATAGGGAGTTTTATAACAATTATGGCCGTTAATGAAATGCATAGAATAAATTATAAATAAAATATGAAATCTGATGGTAAGGATGTTAAAACATAGGAATACTACGACCACTTATATCCTACTTGTCATTTAAGTTTGAAATTGGGTTTTACACATAGATTTATAGAATGATGGGTATATATCTAGGAAATAGAAATTGTAGGGACCTATATTGGACAAGCCCTAAATTTAACTATGCTGACAACTTTTTTACACTTTTTTGTAACTAAAAACGAACCCACAATAAGGAAATGACTCATTTTAGCCTCAACAATTTATGTTAGAAACTAATTCCCACAATTTCCAAACAAAAAATGGTCTTTAGAATATATATATATATATTGGAAACTAATTAATAAGAGGGAGAAACAAAACTAACACTGAATTATATGTTCTGACCTTGAACCATTGTAGTTCTCTCTGCATTTTCAAAGCTGCACCTGAGATATTATCGAGCCTTGCTAATGGTGAAAGCGTCCCTGCCACATGTAGCGCGCAATTGTTATCCTGATCTACAATATTTCCAATCGCAGTTCTTCGTCTTTTACTGAGTTTATAATAAAAAAGGTTATAAACTTTTTCTTGACGACATTCAATGGCAAACTGAAAAAGGTTCCTTCTCTTTGAATTACACGCCCACACGATATTTGGTCTTGCTTGCAATACACGGTCAATAAACTCAAACATTCCTAGCTCGGTAGCTCGGAAAACTGCCGGAAAGAGAAAGTCTTCGCTATCTGAATGTTTTGTCACTTCACACATATTATCTAGGAGTTCAAGGGCTTCAATATGGGCCAATTTCATTTCTCGTAGGCGTTTGATTCCTAAGTTGGCATTGGAAAAACATGTTATACAACTAATTCCAGAAAGAAAAAAAACTTTTAAAATAATAATGGAGAACAAAGGAAATATGGAAACAATGTAGCATACCCAAAATTTCAAGGAGATTTGTGTTCAGACCTTGCAAGAAACCTAGCACTGCAATGGAAATTCAAAATCCAAACACATGATGGGGATAGCTGTATATATCTCTGTTAATTAGATGACAAAATGGGTGCAGAGAAACGATCAGATAGTAATAGAATCGTTCTTGAAGCAGAAGCTAAGTTTCGTCAACTTTCTCCAATTTCTAATCCCTTTTTAAAATCTAATTCTAAGCAATGAATGAGCGATGGTCGACCGACAAATGTTTTAAAACTTTTGCCAATTGTTAGTGCGAGTCCACTAGACAAGAATTCTATAGTGAGGTCCTTAGATAAGGCACTCACTATAGAATGACTCCACTTGATGTTAATAGTGGGCTGTATAAAATAGCCCACTAGATGTGGCATCCAGAACCACCTAAAATGAGGCTGTGGGTCAGAGTGGGATTTTCCTGGGAGTCGGTTGAGGTGCAGGGCCCACAGAAGCCAAATATTGACTTTTTGGACAGTTGGTCTCTTTTGTCATGTTTTTTTGTACTTGCATTAACATGAAACAGTTCATGTCGGTTCATACCATATTAGTGTAGATTGGTTTTCTTCGATTGTCTTCAAACCTATGTAATGATAAATTCTTATTTGTTCATGAACATTACCTATTCTTCACTATACTTAATGCAAGAAAACAAACAAATTGGGTGTAGTATTAGAAACTATAAGAACAGTTTGATAACATATGAAAAAATGATTTCCATTTTGCCAAATAAAACCCCAGTCTTACATTTAAGTCGTAACATACCTGACCAAGCGATCTTTGTTCGATTATGTTCTTCATTTCCTTCATTTTGAACACTTACACGAATATCATTGATGGGGCAATCTATGTGTATACCTTTCAAAAAAATTACAGTAATTAACCTCAATCAATATATCTCGAATAACTATTTATATTACAATTATGGATATCTCTTGTCATAATAAATTTGCATATATATGTTCTATATGCATGTCCCCTCATGGGGTTGAGATCTGATGTCCCCAAATTTCATGTACCCTGTATAGTATTTTGACATTTGTCCAAACACTTAACTGAACTTTAACTCTGTTAAGCTTTATTATTTTTAAAGAGTGCTACTATTTCCACTCACATGTCCAAACACTCATCAATCTAAGACCCAGTTTGGAATTGCTGTCACTTTTAAAAAAAAAAAAGTTGTTTATGCTGTGATTTGAAAATAATTAGCTGTAAAGTAAAGCAGCTCCATGTTTGAGAAACAATATTTTTAAAGTGCTGTTAGTACAAAAAACAGTATCAAAACCATTTGGTAAATTTTAATATAAAATTGTTGTAACTGTGAATAATGATAATAGACATGATGTTGAAAGTGTTATATACTAATCATGTTGTAGTAATGGTGGTGATAGAGTGGAGGTGGTGGTGAAATAGATGGAGGTGAAGGTGGTAGTGGGAATGAAGGTGGAGTTGGTGGTTGTGGTAGTGGTGGTGGTGGTGATGGTAGTGTGGTGGTGGCAGTGGTGGTGGTTGTGGAGGTGGTGGTGGATGTGGAGGTTTTGGAGGAGGTGGTGGTAGAGGTGGTGGCCGTGGCGGAGGATGTGGTAGTGGAGGCGGTGAATGTAGTGGTGGAGTTGGATGTGGAAGTGGAGGTGCCATTTTTTAAAATGAATGATGGTATTTTGGGAATTAAAAAAAATTCATTAAAGGTTCATCTCTGCTTTTTTTGAAAGCACCTTTGAAAAGCAACGCAGAGCCTACTTTTAAAAGTTGTTGTCAAAAGGCCACTGCTTTTAAAATAATCGAGATATTTTATTTTTACCAAACACCTTAAACTGCTTAACTGTAAAGTGAAGCAGGTTTTTTGCCAAAAAAAACAATCACAAACGGGGCCTAAGTGAAGGGCCATTAGCCTAGAGTTATCAACTAGGTGAAGTAGCCAATAGCTACATCACTAGGAGGCCAATTAGCCTAATTCTATGTACCTAAGGCGTTGTACTATTGTTCCAATTTTCCTAAACACATAAACCAACAATAGTATCAGAGTATCACATCACATTCTAAATTGTAATTGTAAGAGGAAAAGAAAATGTGGACACTAACTATCATAGATCCATTGTTGCCAGAATTTGAGGCGTGTTCCACTCGGAAATGCAGAAGGCCTAAATGCTTCTATCGGAAATGCCCCATAGTGGTCTTTAGTAAGGACCAATTGTCGGCAACACCGAATTAATTCCCGAGCCATACCTGTAGTAGAGAAAAAGAAATTTTATTATAAGGAAAAAAACGAGTTATCAAATTAGTTGTTATAAGATTAAAATTTTTACCAAATTTCCTTCCAGTTATAAAGTAGTAAATAAGTGCCGCGCCGTATGGGCCTTTTTCTGGCATTAGATCCTCGATGGGAGTGACGGAGTAAAGATAATGAACGACGTCCCATTGGTCATTGTTAGAAGCCAAGAGAATTGGAGTCAAATTCTGGTTAGTGGTAATGCTAAGTATTTTCTTGCTTTTTCCAACCATGCATTCAACCATTTTGATATTTCCTCTTTGTGCAGCAAGAGCAAGAGCTGTCCAACCATAATTATCTGTTATTTCCAAGTCTTCCTCGGACATCAACTGCACCAACTCTTCCACAATATGCTCGTGCTCTAGTTCTGTTGCCATGTAAAGAGCTGTCTTGTTTGAGTACGGATGTCTTGCTCTTATTGCATCTGGATGTAGGGTAAGAAACTCCTTTGCTTTATTCCAATCCCCAAGCCTCGTAGCATCGAATAACGGCTTAAACAGACGCTCGTCATATCCTGCACCAAGTTTGTGTTAATTAATTAATTATTTCATATAGCATAATCCACTTATTTTTTGTTTTAATAATTGAAAATATTGTACCCATGCAAGCATAATCCTTTTTTTTTTTTTAATGACTTTGAGGGCCACTATATGCCGACATCTTGAATGGAATAGAAATATGATTGTGGGTAGTTTTATGATATTTAAAAATAAATAAATAAAGTCAAAGGGCTAAATTGACACTGTTAGATTTAATTTCCACATTGTTGCACATGTAATTTGCATAAGGATATAAATTTCTTTTCGTATACAGTAAAAGGGAGACCAAAATGTAAAAGAAATAAAAGTAAAATGATTAGGAGTCCTTAACATAAGCAGCAGAAATTGTGGTCTTGGTATATTATATATATTTTATTTGAGCGACACCCTACGATTTTTTTTTTTCAACAATTCAAACCGTCTATTTTTCAAGTCTTCATTCTTAGATCATCTTTGAAAAAATCAGATAAATTGAAAATCATTAAGGAATTTAATTGAGACCGACAAAATCAAGGAACACGATACTTCAAAAAAGTACTTAAATTTCAATAATTTGAATGGTCAAATGTTATTAAATAAATATCTACAAAATAGGCGGTTTGGATGAGTGAAATACAATGCGGAGTGGTCCCTATAAAAGGTGTCCCTCAAATAAGCTTATTTAAGTAGAATATTTACTTCTCACAGAAAGAGAACCAAGTACACCCGGGGGGTTGTTTGATGAGGTTCAAGATTTGAACTGGTGACTTACTTGGATGAAATGGTTTTGGCTTGAACTTTTCTGCCAAAGTATCCCAAGCGCGTTTGGCTGAAGTGGCGTTTCTAATGAGGGAAAAGGCTTTCCGCCCGCACGAAATTTGGATTTTATGTAAAGCCGTGGCATTCTTCTTCCTCCAAGCTTTGAACTTATCATCAGCTTCTTCTTCTTCTTCTTCATCGTCGTCTTCATATTCTTCTTCCACTACATCCCAAAGGTCTTGAGCCAACAAGTAATTTTTAACCAATACACTCCAATCCACATAGTTACTGCTATCAAGAAGTTCCACAACAGCTGCATCTGCGGAGACGGCCATTCTTAGATGGATCTGACAAAGGGCTTACTTAGGAGAGGCTTTGCAATTTCTGTTTTAATTACTATACCCAATTGAGTGAAGAACCACTTGTTAAAGCAATGGGGGTCCGCGAAGGGTGGTGAGGGATTATGTGATTTACCATTTGCTCTGCGCCATATATATATATATATACTGTATACACCCGCTCATTATGAGTCTTTTTTTATCAGAAGAGTCTTTTAATTGGTATAGGCCCCTACTGGCTACTGCCACCAGCACACTGATGGTAAACCCAAAAACGCGTCTAATGGGACCAGTTACAGGGTCTTTTTTCAACTCATTCATACTTACTTTTGTCCGACCACATTATGAATTGACCAATAAAGTTTGATGAACTCCGGTGATATCGTTGACCAATAGGAACGGAGAATTTCACTTAGACCCTCTAAAGCTAACTCCACTATTATGCTCTCTATTTTTTAGTTAGTTTTAGCTAAAAATATATCAAAGTTATTTTAGGAGCTCTCTATAAAATTTAAACTTCAATCGTGCTCTCTAGTTTATGAGTCATAAATGCTATAATTCTTTTTTGATTGGTCCATCTCTATTAAAAAATAAAATAAAAAATGTTTAGCATTAAATAAAGGTTTGAAATACACATTAAATAAAGCAGCATTAAATTATAGGAAGCCACTAGGAGTCCTTTCTCTCTCCTCAAATTTAGGAGCTCCTAGAGGTTTCCTTATTTTAGGAGGTGGATAGAGAGTATGGTTGGAGTTGTACTTTTACAATTCCTCCCTAAAATTTGTTTAAGGAGGTGATTTATGGAGCCCATTATGGATGCTCTTAGGACATTTTTTCTCTCTATTCTTTTCTTTATCTTTCCTCCTCCCTCTTCTTTCCGTCTCTTTGATATGCCTTTTTCTTTTAATTGTCAGTTTTTTTTTTCACTTTTATTATGCTCGCAAAAAAAAAAATCTGGTGCAATTCCTTATCACTATTAACTTGCATTGCAATTAACAAATTAAACCAAACCATTATAATTATAAATTCAATTCAATTTACAGGGGCTTACTCGGGAGAGGCTTTGCAATTTCTGTTTTATTTACTATACCCAATTGAGTACTCACTTGTTAAAGCAATGGGGTCCGCGAAGGGTGAGGATTTGTGATTTACTATTTCCATTCATTGACGTAATTAAACAAATTCAACGAAGAGTAATTTACCCTTGAGGTTTTTAGGGTTTTTATATAACTCCTTCATATCACGATAATTACACAAGCACCTTTTCAAGTTTCAACACTCCATGAACAGCCAAAACACTCTTATCCAAATCGTAATATACCCTTGGTTGAATACCATCTCAAATCTTACACATTATTGCCAAACAGGTCTAGCCAAGTGAATTGCCAAAAAATAAAAAAATAAAAAAGCCTATCCCAATGGAAAATGATTTTAATTTGTTGACTAATATAGTCTGGGTTCAAACTCCCCTAACATCTTGGTGGTGTGTGTGTGAGAAACCCCCTTCTCATTTAAGTTTCGACAATCACTTGTACTAAAAAAGGGTTATCTGCTGTAAAACACTATAAACTATCACGCTTGTCGAAATCTCCACCTTGAACTTGTTTTCCTGCCAGTTTAAGGTGTAGTGGAGGGTTAGCCGTCATACTAAATTTTCTGGCCAATTTTCTCCCCACCATTAGTTTTTGGCAATTTTCATCCAAATCTCTGTTTAAAAAATCACTTGTTAGGCACATGCTTCACTGATAAATTAAAAATTGATTTTTTTCTTTGCTTCTTCAAAGAGCTCAAATTTCTTCTCCTTCCTCTTCTGGGTTTTGGGTTTTGGTGGTGGTTTGAAATTTACATCCATGTCCTCTTCGTTATAAAGGTTGAGATCGATCTGACGGTGGAGAGATTAGGGTGTAGTGGAGGGTTAGTGGGCTGCGGCGCATAAGATGATTTGAGAGGGTGGGGGAGAGGGGGGGAAGAGAGAGAGAGAGAGAGAGAGAGATATGTAAATTTTGTATTTTGGATTGATTTGATAAGTGTGATACATGAGAGATTTATACATAGTTGAAAACCCTAGTAGAGATATACAAGGAAACTAAATCAACAATACAAGGAAGGTAAATCAATATTAACACGTATACAAATATGGAAGGAGGATTCCTGCAATGCAGAGGATTCCTATAATGGAAGAAGGGCCTAACGACCATGTGTTGATTGCGTTTTCCCTGAAACTAGACGGCGGACCTTGATAGACGAGTTTTTCAGAGAGTTGGAGATGGCGACTTTTTTGAAGACTTTTTGCCAGAAGGTCAGCAACTGATCAGTGGAAGGAACAAATTGAGCATGATGACTGCCAAGGGAAACTTTCTGAGGAACAAAATGGTAATCCAATTAAATATGTTGTGTGTGAGTCTGACGAACTGGATTCGTAGTTAGATAGGTGGTATTGATTTTATCACAGTAGATGAGAGTAGGAAATGTAACTGGGCAGCCAAGCTCATGGAGAAGACAACTAACCCAGACGGTTTCGGCGCAGGCATGAGCTAAAGAACAGTACTTGGATTTTACACTAGTGCGAGCAACGGTTGGTTGCTTCTTGGAACACCAAGAGGTGAGAGTGGTAACCAAAAAGATGAGATAACCGGAGGTAGAGCAATGGGTGTCTAGGCAGCCAGCCTAGTCAGCATTAGAGTAGGCACGAATAGTCAGTGGTGAAGGAGAGGGACGTATATGCCAACCAGTAAGGAGACCCCCAGCCAAGTTTAAAAGTAGGTAGCAAAATATATTTATTAAATATAGCCCAGGCATGGTTATATTAAAACCAAAATCATAATGCACAACAACATAAAAGAAATATTTCACTTACTTACCATTAAACCGGGATGTCAAGATAAAACATGGATGCTCATACAGCTTTTTAAAAGCAAGTTTTCGGATATTCAGTAACATTCTTTTGATAATCGATTCTCGTATGCCAACTACCCATACCACAAATTTATTCATCTCAGGTTGCATGGTAGCGAGAGTGTCCATTCCATGGCTATACCTCATTGAACTATCCTCACAGCCGCACATACTGTAGGACTAGTCGGTCCATATAACCCCCAGCCAAGTTTAGGGTATCGAATCCCAAGGTGGTCACTATGCCCCCTTCACTCTCAGATCAACTCGGAACACTGTCAATGAAGCTGATGCCTAAAGTACGATTAAATCCATACAATAGATATGCGAACCAAAAGCAATGTTGAGTTCTCATGCAATCATATTTATTACTTCATACATATAGTAAAATACAAGCCTGGTTTAGTGATCTCCCTACCTGGAGTCCAATGCTAATGCCTGGTCCCACAGACCTTACTTGCCGAGTCGAAAATAAGCTCTTAACGTGCTAGGGTTAGGTCGAGTCACATTTTACGAACCCTAAGTCGAAGTACAAACCCTAGTTTGGAACCCTACGTCGTTGTTAGAAACTTAATGTGAAAACCCTAGGTCTGGTTATGTGGCAAATACTAATCGCATTTCAGGAAATTTAGGAAAGCTAAAAAATAAACAACTCAAAAGGAGAAACTTACCAAGGATGGAATGAGAAGCTCCAAGGGAGGAAATCGACTCCCAAAGGAAATTTGAGGAGATGGGTGGGTGCAACCAGGGCCGTTGGATCTCAACCAAAAATCTGATTTGAGGGTCCGTATTGCGTAAAAAACTGGAGAAAAACGATGAAGAATTGGTTGTAGAGGCACACGACATGTCGTACGGGAGGGACGGTCCAGATCGTTTGACGACATCAAATAAACAACTGAAAACAAACTAAGCCAGCCCGACCCGTTTGACAAACACGTGGATCCTCAAACTAGTCGGCTTCTTATATGGGTAATTAACATTGTGCCACGTCAACGCACAATCAGGGTCTACCTCCAACAGCGTAACGAAATGTCAGCACCTATCAGAACACGTCAGTATCCTGTTAGCATCTCTTGTCCTTCTGATCAGCTATATCAGCATGCCATCGACACTCCAGATCACGCCACCTGTCCAGCTGAACTAATTTTTCTTTTCCAATTTTCTTATTTTTCAAAACTTCTAAAATCCATCATAAATAACTTCGAGCTCCGACCAATTCCTTGAAAATTCCAACGGCCTCGTCTCCACCTCTACTATTTTTTGTACCTTCACTTCTCCAACATCCTTCAAAATATTTTCTGGAAAATTGTCCAACACTCAATATAAATTCAAATAAAGTCCAAAAATTCCAATTTAATTTCCATAAATTCCAATCTTCACCAATTTGAGTCCAAAAATTTTCTTTTTCACGCAGATCGCTCCAACTAAGAATATAAATTTTCCAGGGGCTCATAGAGGGATCCCTTAAATAAGTTTACAAAGAGCTTCTATTGAGGGATCCAACACCCCTGTAGGGTCCACTCCGCATTGTATTTCACTAATTCAAACCATCTATTTTGTAGAATCATTCAAAGATCATTTAAACCATCTATTTTTTTAGACTGATATATTGTAAATGTTGAAATATATTAGGGGACACACGTAGAACCACACTTTTTAACACACCATTTAAATTATCGAATTAAGTAAGTTTCAAACTTTAGAATTGTATTTGTTTAATGGGCAATCCTTTTCTTTCACACATCGTTCAAATTTAAAAATAATTAAACATTGGGGACAACATAGTAGCCCAACTTTTAAGACTATTCATTATTTTATTATATTCTCTCTCCCCTCTCTTTCTTTTTTTGTTTAATGGGCAAACCTTTTCTTTCATCTTCTATCTTCTTTCCCGCTGCTTTCTCTGGCTTTATTGTACATGAGTTTACACGCACACACCCTCAAAAAGTTTCCAACGAATTCCTTATTGAAAAGAGTTTTGTAGTTTATTTTCCTTCTTCATGACATTTGGTCATTGTTGCTGTAAAAATGCTAATGATATTAGTGTCCATGAAATTTAATGATTTCAAACAGTGAAGGAAAAATAGATTAATAAGCATTTTATCAGTCTTTGTTTAATAAATTTAATAAATTTGACTTGGAGTAAAGAATGAATTATTAGAGTAGTTGGGGTTGTTAATTGTCAGTCTTTGTTTAATAAGCACTTTATCTTTG